CAAACAAACAAACAAACAAAGAACAGAACCTGCAGAAGCCTGCCACCCTGCTTGTGCACACTACAAGTTTCATCCCACAATTACTTCAACATTTCAGCATTTTAAAGCTGACTCTAAGTGCCCCAGTTACATTATTAAGGTGTGGTAGCAGATTTTAATTTGCATGTAGCGCTGCAACATGGCTGCTGAGAAAGACGAGGCACGAGTGGCCAGGTGCAGGCATGCCCTTGTGGAGGAAGGGTCGTGTTGCTGGGTGAAGAAAAGATAAAGATCTCCATTCAGCACAACAATGGCATCCACCATTTTCCTCTTAACAGCTGACCCACAACTGACCAGGACAAACACGACTACTGACACACTTAAAACAGTAATATTAGTGTGTCGTAAAGGATTAATATATATCAAACGAAGAAGACTGTGTAAAACTTTAAAATATGTTTAAAGCACTTGAACTGAACGCTTGAAAGGAAGTAGCACAGCACATTTGGAGGCCTGGCAGATAAAATACTGACTCTGGAAAGCTGAAATGGTGTTTGAATCTTAATATAACCGTAGGGGAAGGTATTTTGCTACAAATGAGTTTTACTTGGAAGATTAATACTGGAATTTGTGTATTTGGGATTGTGTGCTTTTCAAATTTGCGTGCTTGGTTTGAGGTCTGGGAGGCCAAATACTTTGGTCTCGCCGAAAAGAAAGAAAAGTAAAGCACCGGTACTGGTGGTAAAGTCAGAAGACAGGCTCCGTCTATATGTGAGCAGCCATCCGTGTCTGAAATGGCAGCTGTAGGTATCAATAAAGGAGCGACGACGACGTTAGCAAGAGCGAAAGCTAACACTAGCATCAGCTGGCACGCTAATGTTTACATGTTGAACTCACCATTCAGCCTGATGACAAACTGCCGACGTTTCTTATCGTGTTCTACCCTGATTGGAGAGTTGTTTGCATCAAAGGCATTAGTCTGTGCCGCCTGTGCCATAGTAGCGCCGTTAAAAAGTCACAACAATGACTGCTACGCTACCCTACGGGATTGCTAACCAGAAATGGCTACAAAAGCAAAACACTTCATCCAACGAAATCAGCTGTGAGGTCACGTGACGCGCGGCCAATCGCAGGCGTCGTCTTTAGAGAGGCGAAAACAGAGCGGCTTTGTAAGATAACTCCCCTCGAGATCATAAACTCTAAACGCCTGCTGAGAAACGATAAAACCAACTGTCTGACTCCGAACGCAAACGTTTCACATGCTGCATTCACGTGACGTGGGATCATAAACAATTATGTCCGTTAAAGACCTGTTAAAGTGGGTCTTATAAAAGGAACTTGCTGCTTACACGGGGTTTTTTTTGTACCTTTTCTGCTCATTTTGTATTTTTTTACAATCCCTGTGAATTATTATATCTTTGCTACTTTATTTCTTTATTATTATTTTAAAATAAAGTTTAAGAGAATTGAAATGTAAGTTTTGTTGTTTAATTCTGGTAGGAATAGGTATAGTATAAAGTCTCTAAATACAATTGCTATAAAATATATTGATTTGTTCATCCGTCAGTTTGAACTGATAAATGATCGGCCCTGTCCCTAACATCTTCATCTGTCACACCAGCCCTCTGCATGTCCTCATTCATGGATGAGGTCTCTGAGGTATTTTCTTTTCCTCCTGCCTGTCAGCCCCATTTTGCACTATCCCTCCTCTGCACATGTCCAAAACAGCTCAGCCTTGCCTCTCTAACTTTGTGTCCAAACCACTCGGCCTGAGCTGTCTCTCTCATATACTCATTTCTAATCCTGTTCATCTTGTCCTTCCGAGTCAGTGTCAACATCTCCAAACCACACATCATAGCTACACTAATACCTTAAATCACTCCTGACACTTGTCCTCACCTACTTCACCTTGGCTTGCACTCTCTTCTTCACATTTCTTATGCACTGTCTATTGCTTTGGATGCCTGGTCACAGGTATTTAAGTTCATCCACCTTCACCACCTCTGCTCCCTCCAGCTTCACTATTACACCTGTCTGCCTATCAGTCACACACGCATTCTGTCTTGCTTCTACTGACTTTCATTTCTCTTCTCTCCAGTGCAGAGAAAACAGGTTTGTAAAAGTGTGTCGGAATTGCATATTCAATAT